GAGACCCTAGTCACCCAGCTATATGAAAAGTGCTCAATCTTAAAGCATTCATGAACAGCTTTCATTTGATACCCATACTGAACAAATATACCCAAGGTTACCCAGGTCCACGTTTTGGTCTATATCTCGAGACCCTAGTCACCCAGCTATATGAAAAGTGCTCAATCTTAAAGCATTCATGAACGGCTTTCATTTGATACCCATATTGAACAAATACACCCAAGGTTACCCAGGTCCACATTTTGGTCTATATCTCGAGACCCTAGTCACCCAGCTATATGAAAATTGCTCTATCTTAAAGCACTCATGAACAGCTTTAATTTGATACCCTTATTAAACAAATACATCCTAAGGTTACCCGGGTCCACGTTTTGGGGCCACGCCCCCTTTATATATCAAAATATTTTTTACCCTGTGACCATCCCTGGAAGATATCCAGTGCGTGTGTAAAATTTGGTTACGATCGGCTTATTCGTTTAGGAGCCAAGTGTGTCTATAGGTACATACATAATTTGAATTTTATATATATAGATAACCACAAACAACAAACACAAGTGGATTTCTACAGTTAGCCTCTGAAACTAAATCAATTTCACACGATTCGCCTGAGAAACTTTCTTCGCGAATATAAATATATTTTCGGTTCAGTTTTGGCATTTCAAAATAAAATTGGTTCGGTTAAAATCCCGAACAAAAGCGATGGTTCGGTTAAAAAACCGGTTCGGTTTAAAACCGATTTGCAGCCCTGGTAGAAATACAAACAATAGTGGTATTAACCAAATTAAGCAAGTGGCCTGGCACTCTGGCAAAACAGCAGATGAGCTCAAGCAACGACTGTTGACGGCTGTTATTGCTCGAGCTAATCTGCTCTTTTGCCAGACTGCCACTTGCTAATTTTGGTGAATAACACTCAATGCCGGAACTTCAGAGAATCGTTCTTTTTAAAACTCGTCAGGGCATATCTCGAAAATGACATCTGCAGTTACATATATCTACATATGCTTAAGGTTCCCATCTTATTTCGGTCAAAAACTGTATATTGTTGCGTAAAATTCCGTTTCATAGTATCTCCATTTCAAAAAACTCAGTATGACTAGATATTACCTATTTTTAAATCATTTGTCAATAAAATGACACGGTCTAAAAAAAGCCATGTAAATCATATTCTCTAACGTAGTACAAAAACTAGAAAAAATCAACAGGTTTGCACAACAATACCGTTGATTTTTTAAATTTTTAACCGAATTAGTTCGTCGGAATATTTTTTTTTTACCGATTTCGATAATTCTTTTTTCATTGGAAAGGTGGTCCAATACTAATTTTTTTTAGATCCGATAATTGGATCGTAAAGAAATTAACGATAATCTTAAATTTTTATATGAGAATTAAAGTCGGTTTTGTTTTTTCGCTTAAAAATTACTTGTTTTTTTGCCGGTGGTGTCGCGCATTTTCTTCCATATAAAGGTGCTATGTTCGACAATTTTGCATTTTTTTTTTTTTGTATGGAAGAAAATAATATAATATTTAGGTTTTTAAATAGTTTTTTCCAGAACAAAATTTGTGTTTAAATGGCAGAAACCTACTTTATAACTTACTGCTTATACTACTACTACCTAAAAATTTAGGTAGCAGAAAAAGTACTTTTCTCATATAAATGTTGTATTTTGGAAAAAAGCAATATCTATTTTTGAAGGCCAAAAAATGTAGTAACACTGCGGAAAAAATTATATGTAGATGCGTTGAGACTAGCATATGTGCGTGATCGGATCCGACAGGATATTTAAGAATCTACAGGAAATTTTTCACCCACATCAGCCATAATAAGAGGAACAAGAGAAATGTACACTTTCAGCTCTGTCATTTCTTGTTGTTGTCGTTGTAACAGCATAAATATTCCCCAAAGAGTTTTTGGGGAGTGATGCTGGAGTAACAGTCCTTGGTCAGATATAAATCTGGGACGTTCCGGTTATGTAGACCCGTGTGTCGTGGGCACGGCATTTCTTCACCGGAGCCAACAGAGCACATCAACGTGTCACTGTCCACGCTAATCATCTCAGAGAAGGGGTAATAAATGGGTATGATTATTCCTCTTAAGCCTGGAAAGAAGGTGACTAGAGATGGGTACGGGACTAGATATTCAATCCTGATCCCGCCCAGCCCGAAATTCAACCTTTAAGTCCCGAAATTTTTCAGATTTGCACCGCGGGTCTTATGGATCCCGAAATCTATCACCTAGATTAATTCACATGTCTCAAATTAATTTTTATTTAAAAAATAGTAAAAGTACTGGGATCTTCCGATTATTATTTTCGCTTTGCTATTCGTTTTCGTCTCAATAAAACATAAAAAAGTGCTTATATCATGAAATGGTTTTAAGGAAAATTTTCTGAATTTTCCGAGGTTGCGGGTTTTATTGGGCATGTCTGGAAAACATTTTTGGTCGCGTCCCGCCCGCTAAATTTTTAAAGACCTTCCCCGTACCGCCCATTTCGGCCATTGTGAAATCAGTACCCTAGGTCCCGCGGGTCCCGATATCCCGCGCCCACCTCAAGTACAGACCCACTCCAATTCTCAGTGGGAAATTCCATGTAAACACTCCTAGTCCCCAGCCCGACTAAGCTTCCAAAATTTTGAATCTACGTTGCCTTTATGATAAAACGGATCTAGAGCGGCAGATCTTGCGACCCTTGACAAAATCTCCTAGATTCGTCGTTGCCAGATCGGTCGACACGGTGGATAACCAACTACCTATGTGGGCTATTATCATCAGTTAAATTGCGAAACGCTAAATCGAAGTCGCGTATAAATAAGAAAGGGGCTCCGTAAGGAGGAGTACACTCCTTGGCGTTGTTTGACCACGACATAGCCAAACTCGCTTCGCGGCCAGCTGAAGTCTTCTTAGTGAGCTAACATTGGTCGCCCCTCGGCAGACAGTGGCAAATATTTGAACGTATTTCTGCCTTCCTGCGAAGTATTATGGCTATTATAATAAGCGAACAAACCTCTCGCTTGCCTTTTCTTTTTTATGATTTTCCGCATTATTCTCTCCACAGAACAAGCAGTTTCGAGCACTTATCGCTTTGAGCTAAGCTTGTTTGCTATGAGCAAATTCACTTTTACAAATATTTAAACCGCTTCTCAGCTGTTTCTGGTTACTTAAACACTTGTTGTCATCCATCAGAAGACGTTTTCATACTCGATGCTGCTGAAACGTATTTTTATGTGTGTGTGTTTTTTATTTTTTTGCTATATTTGTGGTTTTTGTTATGATTACTCGCAAGCGTATTGCTTTGCTTGTTGTTTTTGTTGCTATAAGAGAAAGTTGCTCCACTGACGTGACTGGCTTGTTGGTTGGCTGATCGCATGTCTGACCAGTTGTTCGCTTCTAGTCAAGTTTTCATATGAATCAGTATATTGCTAGAGTTGGTGAGCGATTCAACGCCGTGACGCAGAAAAAAGTTACGCTTTACGACGTGGTTTGTTTGAAAAAATCTTTAAAATAAATCAAGTAGATACAAGCAATAAGAATAAACGTCCCTATTGCGAATAACATACATATCTATAAAGAACATTATTCGTAAAATAATTTGTTCACATAAATGGAGGAAGAAATACACAGTTGCGAAGAGGAGCAAATGGTGGAGGACGATGGTCATGTTAGTAAACTGCGTAGCAAATAATATAAACATTTTTTGTTTATCCACCAACTTTATATGTATGCCAAAAGGGAAAAGTTGGGGAAATACCGAGCTTTTCATGTGATTTCATTTTCCTGGTTTTGCTGTAGTAATAATTCGGTCGTAAATTTAAATGACTTTTCCAGTTCCAATATGTTTATTACGTCGTTGGAAGCTAGAAATACTTTGCTAATCTTTTACAGCGTGTTATTTGCATTTACACCTGCTGTAGCAAGCTACCAATATGTAGCGCAATGATTGTATGTATAAAAAACGTAGCTTCTACTATTTTTCACTTACATATTTTTTACATATGCTGCTTTCTAAACCTTTTACATTGTTGATGTTTCAACTACCGAGGCGCTTGCAAACTTTAAAATCGGTTTGAATTCGGCTAGAAAGTACCACGTCACGGAATTGCGTGCCCATATGTGAATCGCTTAGTTGGCACCCAAGTGGGGTATTCACACACTGCCTAACACTCACAATGACATCATATTCGCCCGCCAGTTAATAAGCATTCAACTATTAATAATAACAGTAGAAAAAAAAACTGGTAATGCATTTGTATGCATTGAAGGTTAGTTAGTGTGATTCGAAGTACCTGCTGATTTAGGGTTCGATTTTATGCATACACATATGTATACCACAATATAGCATAGTCAGACCCTTTTTAGACCAGTCAAGTCTTGCTTTCAAGTCTGCTCGCTTCGTAGGCGAAGGAGGTGAGAAGATAGGGGAAGAATACATTCGTCTCACCTCCTTCGCCTACGAACGAGCAGACTTGAAATCAAGACTTGACGTCTCTGAAAGGGGTCTAGATAATAGATAGATAATTAATAGAGGCATGCACTGCGACCAGCAGGTCTATTGTGCCCACAAACATTTACAGTACCTCATCTAATCTTAGAGAGCCCAAAAATTTGAGGAGATCCCCAGGGATTAGCGATTGTATTGCTTCGTTACTTGGCCAGTAGTGGCCCAAGGGGTCTCACTATTGCTAGTCATCGTTCTTCGGGCCATAACACTTTCCTGCGCTGGAACACTTTATATTAATTGTATGGCTTGTCATAGGCGATTCTATTATATTTTAGCCAAATGGTCATCCTCTTTGAGGTCGAATCTGAAGTTTACGCAATTTCCGTACTTATTGCATATGAGAAAGTCAGAATTTTCACGGAACATTGTCTTTTATGCATTCTTTCTTTTATAAAGACTTATTCATAATAAACATATCCTTTCTTTTTTACCCACACATTTATGCATTTATGTTGATAAAATATATTCAATTAACAAAAAGTATTTATTGGAAGAAAGTGAATAAAAGAAACCTGAATGCAGTGTTACCGGAACGAATGTTGTTGCAATTTACATACAAACATATGTATGTAAATAAAGTATTATCGCCAAAATAACTTTTTTATATACGGTTGTACAATTATGGAATCAACTACTTTGTTTCTAGAAAATGCTTTATTTTACGCATTCTTTTATTATAAGCGTGTTTCTTTTATACATTTTCTTTTATATAGTTATTGTATTACGTTGAACACTAGGTGCAGCAAAAAGCTTTCCATTCTTTCTTAAATACAAAGTTCTTATATACAATAAGTACTGTACTTTGAAACAATTCCTTATTGTTTATGAATAATTAGTAAGTAAAGTATTTAAGTCTCATTGTTCATTAGTCACGTTAAATGTTTTTAAATTTAATTTAATTTACTTACATTTTTATTTTATTTGATTTTAATTGTTTGAATATATGAATAATTAGTAAGCAAATAATTAAAGTCTCATTGCGTTATTAGTCTCGTTAAATTAAAATTTAATTTAGATGAATTTTTATTTAATTTAATTGAATTTTAATTTATTTTATTTTATTTTATTTTATTAATTTTTTTATTTTATTTTATTTTATTTTATTTTATTTTATTTTATTTTATTTTATTTTATTTTATTTTATTTTATTTTATTTTATTTTATTTTATTTTATTCTATTTTATTTTATTTTATTTTATTTTATTTTATTTTATTTTATTTTA